TGTGAGGATTGGGATTCTTGATCGAAAAAATTGGTTTTCCTTTTTTGTATAAATGAAAAGAATCCAGGAGAAGCTGCCACCCTCCCCTCCAAGCGTGATGCGCCACCTTGCTTCGGCGTCTTGTCGCCCTTTCCGCCTTTGGTCTGGGGACTGCCCAGCAGATCCTCCTGGTTCTGACCCGGGGGTGTTTGCATCACCCCCTTTTACTTGTATTAAAAAAAAAATGATGGGTTGAAAATGTACTGAGGAAAAAAAATGTACTTTTTTATAAATAAAGTGTTTAAAACAAACTGGTTTGTGTCTCATCACTGCCCTGCTCCACGCAGTGGGGGCAGGGAAGGGGTGGAGCTGGAGTGGATGGTGCAGAGGGATGGTGAGGGGAAGGGACCCCCACCCCATGCCCAGGCCCCAGGGTTCGGGAGGAGCAGGGGCCCTGAGGGAGAATGCTCACAGGCTGCCCCGGAAACGTCTTCCAGGCAAGTGAGAAGACCGTGGACTTTGGCGGCAGCATCACAGAGGGAGGGGTGGGTGTCCACAGACACAGGAGAGAGGCCTTTAAGAAAGTAAGGCCTGACCCAGTGTGGTGGCTCACGCCTGTAACCCCAGCACTTTGGGAGGCCAAGGCTGGCGAATCACGAGGTCAGGAGTTCAACATCAGCCTGGCCAACATGATGAAACCCTGTCTCTACTAAAAATACAAAAATTAGCTGGGCATGGTGGCATGTGCCTGTAATCCCAGCTACTCAGGAGGCTGAGGCAGGAGAATTGTTTGAACTAGAACCTGGGAGGCAGAGGTTGCAGTGAGCCGAGATTGTGCCACTGCACTCTAGCCTGGGCTACAGAACGAGACTTGGTCTCAAAAAAGAAAAAGAATAGAGAGGGCTGGGGGTGCACACAGCAGAGAAGGCAAGCCCTGCACCAGCTGGAGCCCTCCTGGGGGTACGGGCACCTCCTGCCCCAGACTCTAGTTCCCCTGTCGCCCACTCCTGCTGTCCTGTTCCTTCCTCCCAAGTCCCCTCCTGTGGCTGTTTGGAGAAGAAACCCAGCAGTATCACACCTGCTGTGTCAGGTCCCTGGGGATGGAGAAGAACTGAGAGCTTTATCCTTTCATCTATTTCGAAGATACTGCCCATCCCCATCCCCTGCAAGCTCTCCCTGAGACCCACCCCTCCCGCATCCCCATTCTCTCCAGGGGGCTGGTTGTTTGGAGAGAAGGTCTTCTTGTTCCTTGGTTACCTCCCCACTCTCCCACCAGCACCATCTGCTTCCCATCTCCTGGGCTGGAATGCAGGACAAATCGATCCTGGGGTGGGAGTGGCAGGGGCTTCAGGGACTGCCCCATCCCAGCCATCCCTCCCTCTACCTCCCACTCTCAATGGCATCTCCTTTCACTGAAATCCACACCAAATGACCCCTGGGAAAGGGAGGGGGTAGGAAGGATAGAGACAAGATGGGTGCTTCGCAGAAAGCCCTCTTTCCCGTTGGGGGCAAGGCCACATCCCCCACACCCAGGATTGGGGCTGGATGGGCAGACGTTGGCATGCAGAAGGAGAAGCCAGCAGCTGTTGGCAGCTGGCTGAGCCCCCTCTGGAAGACCAAACCCAGCATCCTGGAAGGGGCTGTGTTTAGATGTTGGTATTTGAATGAGATGCAAATTGGTTGTTTAAGCAGTCACTTCCTCAGTTTTCCAGGCTGTCCGTTTAAGTTTTAATTTGTGCAGGCAATAAATGCTTAATTACATTATTAATATATTGGAAGAGAGCAGTGGACAGAACGTCCTAATTGGCATTTAACTAGAGCGTTCTGGCAAATTAGCCAAGACTTTCTCCAGCAGCGGAAGGAGGGCAAGCCAATTAGTCTCAGGCACAACCCCTCTGGACGGAGCTTCGGGCTGGAGAAGCCAGACCCAGTCGCTTCCCCAGGGTCAGTGCCAGGCTGTCCCGTAACAGACATCCCGGCCCAAAGGATGCTGGGAATCCGGGGGCACACTCTTAGTCTTCTAGTCCAGTTGGGCCTTGGAAAAACTTTCTGCTAGGCTGTGTGGCTCCTTTTGCCCAAACCTCAACCCTTGCCTCCATCCGTCAAGCGCCACCCTCAGCAGAGCAGAGGACCAAAGGCCTGGAAGCAGCAGCTGTCTGAGTGTCTAAGGTCCCCCCAGATGTGCCCACCATATCCCTATCTTGGCTGGTGGGCCCAGAACGAAGCTCCTCTCTGGAGACCATGGAGGCCTTTCTCTGTTCCCCTCTTCTACCCACTCGTGGTTGCAGATGGTTAAGGAGACAAACTTGATGAATTGAGGCATTCATGTATTCATTTACAACACATTTTTGGCTGCTCTGGGACTGCAATGCAGTGACAGCCATACCCAGAATCCCGGCGAAAGAATTCAGAACCCTGGGTGTGCCTGATTCCAAAATGGCCAGTGCTGTACTGGCCACAGGCTGTTACAGAGCTTTGTATAAAGTGCTGGGGTGGGAGTGGGTTATTTTGTTTGGGAGGGTCTGAAGTGACATTTTACCTGAGCCTTGAAGGATGTGTAGGAGTTCTCCAGACAGAGATGTGTTAAGAGTATTTCAGGTAGCCTTGAGAATTTGCCATCTTACGTTAGTTGTTGTAAAAGAGATCATCCTACTCCAACACACTCATTCTGCACATGGAGAGCTAAAATCTAGGGAGGAAACTAAGATTTGGCCCAACCAGACCATCAGAAAGCATGTGCCAACATGCTCAAGGGCATGGCCACATCCTGAGAGCAGCAGGAGGGGAGGAACCCAGGGGAAGGGTGGCACCAGCCTGACTCCTGGGAGAATGCTCGATCTGGTACAAGCTTCTGTTCCCTCACAAAGCAACAAGAACCCCAGGGGGATACAAACAGTTTGCAGGACCCACATTTGGTGTTAAGTGGAGTTGTCAGAGTCAGATGGGGCGCATCAGGAAAGACTTCTGGAAAAGGTGGTATCTGACATGGTTTGAAGAATGGGAAGGACATTGAAGAATGTCCTTCCATGTCCAGTGTTCTTCAATGTCCAATGGGAAGGACACTTTTCAAGGGTAGGAAAGTTGGAGGAGGAAAGCCCTCTGAATGCTTGAGGGGAACGCCAGCTAGGCCTGCTTCTGGAGCCACCTCTGCACCAGCGCCCACAGCTGGAGGCTCTACCAGCACATCCTTGAGACACTCTGGAGAGCAGCCCTTAGGCTCTACCTAGGTGCTGCCTTCTTGGACCCCAGACCCTATTTTCTCTTCTGGTTTACAGGCTTGATGGCAGAGCCAGGCCAAAGTCCTTCTCTATGGAGGACTGTGGTTCCACTCCTCATCCCCAGAACAACTCCCAGATGAGACACTACAGGCAATGTCTTCATCCCAGCCTCCCCTCTACTAACCATGCTTCCCAGAGCACATACAGACTCCAGGAGCTGGGGCCTCATCTAAGCTGGCAATTTTGCATCCAAGCTCGTCCTGAGCTCCACGGAGAAAGGCACAAGCCTGGCTGCTTGGCTTGAGAACCATCCACAGGGTTGGATATCATCAACATATATCACAGGCCCCATTGAGCATGGAGAACTTAACCCAGGCTACACCCCAGAATCATCTGGGGGTTTTTAAAAATCAGGTCACATCTCATATCAATAGGGTCAGAGCCTCTGGGGATTGGGGATTGGGGCCTGGACAGGCTTTTTTTGGGGGGGGACGAGGTCTTGCTTTGTCACCCAGGCTGGAGTGCAGTGGCACAATCATTACTGCAGCCTCGACCTCCTGGGTTCAAGCATTCCTCTTGCCTCAGCCTCCCAAGTAGGCTACAGACACCTGCCACCACTCCCGACTAGTTTTATTATTTATTATCATGATTTTGTAGAGACAGGGTTCTCCCTGTGTTACTCAGGCTGGCCTTGAACTCCTGTCCTCAAGCAATTCTCCCACAGTGCTGGGATTATAGGCGTGAGCCACTGTGCCTGGTAACAGACATATTTTTAATATGCTACCCAGGAGATTCAAATGGACAGCCAGCATGGAGGCAGAGGCCACCTCAGGTGTCAGTCATGAGGAAGAGGTGGGTCTTGAGATAGGAAAATGAAACTGAAGGGGTGGGAAGTTGGGTGACTCCATGAGTTAACACACATAGGGTTTGAGTGCCAGTTAATGCTATTTATTGTTGTCATCCATCATCTTCATGTTCATCACCATCATCACCTGTGAGACTTGGGATCCCAGATGACAGTGACTGCAATGGAGGTCACCACCTGAGGCAAGTAGGGGGCAGGATGGAGCCACACCCATAATCCTCATGAAGCAGGTTTTTGGGGTTTAGACCACCCATGGACCCTTGGACCCTGGGCACCTGCCAAAAGGGGAAGAGGGATTATGAAAGAGCCCAGGCAGGAAGTCCCATAGGCCCTGGGCACCTGCCAGAAAGGGGAAGCAGGATGATGAAAGAGCCCAGTCGGGAGGTCCCATAGACCCTGGGCACCTGCCAGAAAGGGGAAGAGGGATTATGAAAGAGCCCAGGCAGGAGGTCCCATAGGCCCTCTCTGAATGGAGCTTCTTGCTCCATGATGCTGTCAACCTAGGAGAAGTGAATGTGCTTCATGAAGGAAGGTGACAGTTCCCCTGTATCCCTGTTAGGCAGATGAGGGAGGACTCTCTGAGAGAGGTGGAAGGGGAGGGTGGCAGGGCCTGTGCTCTTTGAGACCTCCACTCTCTGCCTGAGGATGGGCCCTAAGGTCCCTAACAAAGGCCTCTTCCATTCCAGTGAGTAAAGACCTCCTTGGGGATGACTGACCCAGAGACCAGCTGGCCAGGGTCCCCCAACCTGACCTCCTGCTTATGCCCACCCTCCCCTCAGTAGCCAGCTCCTTTTCATTTTGCAACACTCCTGGAACCCTCATCCCTGAGAGCCCCCATGGCATCCAAGGCAAAAAGGGACAGCAAGTAACACAACTGCGCAAGCTGCCTTCCAACCCAGGCTGGCAGCCCCTTGAGGGCTGGGATCTTGTCTTTTTCTTTTTTAATGTGATGCCTCACAAATTTGCATGTCATCTTTGCACAGGACCATGCTATTCGTCTCTGTATCTTTCCAATTTTAGTACATGTGCTGCCGAAGCAAGCACCAGGATCATGTCTTACTCATCCCCGGCACCCAGCCCAGAGCTAGCTCAGAGTGGGTGCTCAATAGAGGCTGAACCAAATTGAACTGATCAAAGTGAGAGTCAAAGGGACCTTTCAGCTGGGTGTGTTGGCTCCTGCCTGTAATCCCAACACTTTGGGAACCTGAGGTGGGAGGATTACTTCAGGCTGGGAGTTTGAAACTAGTCTGAGTGGCATATCAAGACTTCCACTACAAAAAATTAAAAAATTAGCCAGGTGTGGGACACACCTGTAGTCTGAACTACTTGGAAGGCTTAGGTGGGAGGATCGTTTGAACCCAGGAGTTGGAGGCTGCATTGAGTTCTAATTGTACCACTGCACCCCAAGATGGGTGACAGAGTGAGATCTTATGTCTTAAAATAAATAAATAAAATTAAGAGACTTTCAGGTGGTGCAGCCCAACCTTCCCCAGGGTAGGGGGTTTTCCTCCAAATGTGCCCAGCCTCTGGTGCTGGGCAGTTTGTTACTTCTCAAGGTAAGTCCTGATGTCACAGGGCTACCCTTCTATGTGGACAAAAATTCCCTCCCCTACGCTTCCCCCACTGGTCTAGGCATTTCCCTGGGAAGCTACACAGAATAACTCCATGTGGCATTCCTGGGAGAGTCCTTCAAATATTGGAAGATGGCTACTCCTCACCAGACCCCTTTTTGAGATATTTAACCCTATGCTATCGTCATCAGGCCACTTGGCAACACAGCGGTTAGGAGCCTGTGCTTCATAGTCAGGCAAACCTGGGTTCAAGTCTTGACTCCATTGATCAGTAGCTGTGGGAAAGCATGATCACAATGGCCAGCTCGGAGCAAGCCCTCGCACCAACATCAAACAACCCCAGTTACCTGTGGACCGGTCGCAGTGTGTCAGTGTGGGTTCACCAACTACCACAAATGGACCCCTGTGGCGTAGGATGTTTTTTCCTTTATTTTTGGTATGGGATTTTTTATAGTGGGAGAGGTCATACCTATGTAGAGGTAGGGAGTCAATTTCCCATAGACTGTCTGTACCTTCCACTCAATCTTGTTGTGAGCCTAAAATTGCTCTTTAAACAAAGTCTGTTAGCCAGGCGTGGTGGCTCACAGCCGTAATACCAGCACTTTGGGAGGCCGAGGCTGGTAAATCACCTGAGATCAGGAGTGCAACACCAGCCTGGCCAACATAGCGAAGCCCCATCTCTGCTAAAAATATAAAAAATTAGCCAGGCACGGTGGTGGCTGCCTGTAGTCCCAGCTACTCAAGAGGCTGAGGCAGGAGAATCACTTGAACCTGGAAGGCGGAGGTTGCAGTGAGCTGAGGTCGTGTCATTGCACTCCAGCCTGGGTGACAGAGTGAGACTCCATCTCAAAAAAATAAATAAATATTTTAAAAATAAACAAATTTAAGTCTATTTTTTAAAAAGTCCCTGCTATTCCAGGTGTTCCTGAGGGAACACACACACACACACACACACACACACTGCCATCTTCCTCTCATTCTGAGGGCCAGGGATTAAATACTGCTGGCCCTCCCTGAACCTGGCTGACCTGCTGTGGCACAGTGGGCACAGCCAACCCATCTGACCTGAGAAGGTTGGCATGGGACACACAGGGGCTCAATCCTGGTGGTTAAACTTCTTGGGGGTAGGAAGGGGGATGGATGGATGATTTGGATGGGCAAGTAAACCTTTGAGTTGTTTTCACTTGTGCTACCTCTAAGTGGTCTTCTTCACCCTGCACTTGTGCTCCCTATTTACCCCCAAATGTAATTTTCATGCACCTCTGCAATGTTTTATCTTGGTGATGAAGGTCAGCATTTCAGCCTCTGCCATTCCTTTTGGAGACTGATTCCATCAGCTTAGTCCACAGCAGACATTTATGGAAAACGTGGTGAAAGGAAAGAGGTCTTCAGGGTCAAACTGACCTTGATTAATCCCTGGTTCCACCACCTATCAGCTCTGCAGACCTTCGGCAAGGTACCTGCCTTCCCTGAACTTTATTTCTCCACCTATGTGAGTAGACTGCTGAGATGAATAAAGACAGTTCCTATATAGAGTAAGGTATTTGTAAAGCAGGTAATAGGGATACCTGCCACAGATGGCTGTAAGGATTGAAGGAGAATTGACTCCTTGTAAAGCACTCAACAGAACACCTCAAACAGACCCAGTGCCCAGCTGTGTTGAACTAGGATAGTATTCTTGCTTACTGTTATTTTCACCACTGTATATCTGCCCTCAGCAGGGAAACAGAACTCATTGTGGAAATAACATCAAGTAGTAAGACACTTGCCAAGTTCCAGGTAGGACCCCAGCCCTGTCCCTTCCTGGCTACGTGGTGAGCACCGCCCCTTAGTCTCTTTCTCTCTGATTGGCATCATTTCGCACCAGCCTGTTGACCCACCAGCCTGTTGGAGGGGCCCGGGCCTGGAGGAGCTGGGCTGTGTCCCTCAGGGCAGGGCTGGGTTGAGATCCCCACACTGGGCCACTCTCATGCAGGGGACACTGAGGCCAGCTGCAGGAATGCAAGGCCACATTCACCCCAGAGCAAAGGCTTCCAGCACCTTCTACAGTGTCATCCACAGAAATGCCCCAGGAGCCGCCTGACATGGGAAGCGAGAGGACAGGTCTCAACTGTGATCATTTTTACTTACCAGGATCCTGTGTGAGGTTTGGTACTTTGTTATTTTTAGTTTTCAAGCTTTTTTTATTGAGGAATACCGTATCAACAGTAAAGCTCACAGATCTTAGGGGTTCAGCTCCATTTGTACACACCCATGTCACCACCCCCGGATCAAGGCAGAGGCTCATTCATGCTCCCTCCCAGGCATGACCCCCATTCTGGAATTTCACAGAAATGAAGTCATACCTAGTCTATTCTATTCATAGAATAGAATTGAGGGTACTATTTTTGCAGCTCTTTCACAGCAATGGTCCATTGCTGTGTATTATTATCCCAAAGTGAGAACAGGCCACAATGTGCCTCTCTCTTCTACCATCAGCGGGGATGTGAGCGGTCTCCAGTTTGGGACAATTATGAGTAAAGTTGCTACAAACATTCTTGCATGTAACTTTGGGGCCCATCGGCTTCATTTCTGCTGGGAGTGGAAGTAGGGTCAGTAGATACAATCAGTGTTCCAGGGTGGTTGTGCCGGGCATGGTGGCAGGTGCTTGTGGTCCTAGCTACTCATGAGGCTGAGGCAGGAGAATCACTTGAACCTGGGAGGCAGAGGTTGCAGTGAGCCAAGATTGTGCCATTGCACTCCGGCCTGGAGAGAGACTGAGACCCCGTCTCAAAAAAAAAAAAAGAATGTTTGAAGGCCCAGTGTTATATATTTCCTGGAGCCCAAGAGGAAGCGTTGGTGTGTATCCAGTGAGCCAGGCTGGGGAACTGCTAGGAGAGACCCCTGTTCCGGAACAGGAAGGACAAGCCAGCCATCAGGAAACAGGAGCCCTGAGGCACAACAGAGCGGCTGGCATGAGGCCTCCAGGTGCCATGGTGACCACACCGGGTAGGGTTCACTGGGAAACCTTCCTCTGGTCCCCACAATGGACCCTAACCAATGGAAATTTCCTGGGGGATTTATGACAAGAAGGGCAGGAGACAGTAAGCCACACCAAGTGGGATTTTCCTTGTTGACTATAACTGTTGGGAGGGAAGGGCAGGCGGTGAGCGCTGGACGGCAGCGGACAGGAGGGAGGCAACATGCCGGCGAGAGGCCTGGACTAGGAGGCAGGGGGCTGGGCTCTGGAACCAGCCCTGCCACTTCTCACCAGGTGACCTTGAGCAAGGCCCTTTGCCTCTCGGATTCCATGACTCCTCTCTGCATGTGGAACAAAGATCCTGGGTGATGGAAGATGGGAGCCTGGTGGCCTCTTCTGAGTTGCTCCTGAAGACAAAACAGCAGGGCTGGGTAGCAGGTCCACCCGGAGCTCCTAGACAGTCCTGACAGTGATGAATCACCACGCCCCACTCCATCTCCACTATCTACTGCAATTGATCCTGAGCCCAGGTGCCTGGGGTGATAGTGGCCAAGGGCAGCTTCCAGAGAAGTCTGGTGTGCGGCAGCTGCAGTGTGAGTGGGGGATTTGGGGTGGCCATAGTCTCATCCCCTCACTGTGAGAGTGACCCACTCTGCCCTCCCCTGCAGAGAACTGAAGGAGCTGCCCTGCTAATAAAACAAACACTCCAAGCCCCTACAAGAGGGGAGCAGAGAAGGGACTCCAGGGAAAACCATGGTGGGGGCAGGCTCCCCATGTCTCCTCTCACAGCCCACGTAAGGAGTGTCAGGCGGTAAGGACAGACCCCCCCCAGGAAAGATTGGGGCTGTCTGTCTCTAAGGTTTCCTCACGGAAGTATCTGTTCACCCCAGGAAGATTTGGGGGCTTGATCAATGAAAACTGTAGGTCTCTCGCGTGATACTCTTTCTGAAGACACACCCAAGCCCCAGTGGGAATTGGAGCCGCCAGCTGGCTGGTGCCGGTTCTGGGGTAAGGACGGTACCCAAGGCCCCTGACTGGGAAGCTCTGGCTCTGAAACACGCTGCCTCCTCTTATTTTCTGCTGTCACCTCCCTGGGGTCAAGTTCTCCTTCCAAAGCCTGGGCTCACGGGTGTCCTATTCCATGCCCTATTCTTTCGTCCCTGTAGTTCAACTCATGCAAACCCCAAGCAAGAGGTCTAACTTCCTATCCAAGAATTACAGACTATTAGAACCAGATGGAACCTCAAAGATCATTCTCCCCAACTCTCAAATGGGGAAATTGAGGCCCAGGAGCCTAACAACAGTAAGAATTCTTTACATTAATATGATGTTTGGAAATTACAAAGTGACTCAATATACTTTAATAAGAGTTAAGACTTACAATATCACTTCCTAAGTACCACACACTGTTCAACATACTTTATAACACTGAGTCCTCGCCTCCATCCTCGGAGGTAGGTATTAGTACTATTACTATGAACCCCTACACAAGGACATGAAGACGTGAACTCCCA